ACCCCCCGTTCGGATTTCTCCAGGCGTGGCGACACAGCAGCCGGCATACCTGAGACATCAACTTTGCTAGCAATATTCATGAGTTTGAGCCCTCCCTGCCACTTCTCAGCATTCGTGAAAGGCTTCGTAAGAATATCTGCTGCCTGAAGTTCAGTGGACACGTGTGTAAGCTTATAGTGTTTCCGCCTGAATTGTTCCGCTAACCAAGCAAGATTAACACGTTGGGTCTTGTCAGTATGGCGAAAGGCCGGAGATCCACCACTTTCAAGAATACGAATAGTGGCCTGGTTGTCCTCGAGGAAAACGCCTTCGAAAGAACCATTGTTGATAAGAGTCACACTCTCGCTACCACTACGTTCATCCCCAACATAATCAAAGTCCGTGAGGTTGTCCCTGATCTCTTTGGCCTCGATTTCGAGATCAGCCTCACCGGCCCCCCGCATGAAGAAATACGTCTTGCCTGTCCATGCGGAGTCGGTTTGGCGTTCTGGATCATTTGGGCAAATTCGGGACACGTTGAGGTCGATGTTACCATCATTGAAGAATTGAACCGTGTATCTTGTGCTGGACAAGGCCTCGGTCCTAACCGGGCAGTCATCGTTCGATGGAACAAACAACTGGGTTCTTCTTTTATTATGGACTCTGACTATGTATCCATTGCCCGTGTCGTTGATCCAATAATCGGAAGTTCTTGATGGGGTGAGAGTGCACGTTGGGTTTTCTGTACCACCCCCCGCCGACTGTATGATCTCCCAGAGGCAGGAAGACGGAAGTCCAACAGCACGCAATGCAGTCCATGCAAGGTTGGTGCTGAAAAAGTTCACCGAGATATGAAAAACCTTTGGCTCGATTTGTCCCGGAGCTTCTTCACGGCCGCAGCCGCTAGGCGGGCATTGCCAACGTTTTCATGAAAGAAATACGTGGTTCCAACCCAAAGAAAAGGAACAGTCTGAATCTGATCATCGTCTTCATCGAAATGCCAATACTGTTGAGCAGCACCGTCTTTATCAAAACATGGACTGCACTCTGTGTACCGCGTCCCGCCCAACCCAATCTCTTTGGCAACACTGTTAGGCGTGCGGCGAAATTTGCGCCTTGGCTGCTCGTGTTGACAAACAACCACGCCATGTTCTGGATAGTGTTCCCAGTAATCCTGAGTTCGGCGAGCTGCGGCTGCAGTCTTGTCGGATGGATCCTCCAGGTCATGATTGAAAACATGAGCGAAAGGATGATGTTCAGGCGAAAGTTGAACCTTCTCCGTGACAACATGTTCACATCCGAGGTACCTACCAACAGCCGAAGGTGGGTCCATGTCAATCTTGGAAGAAATGAGTTCCCAACCTTTTGCAACATTCTGAACCGGTCCCGACATCTTGAAGTCGTCGACGTACACTGCGAGCAGGAGTCGAAGTTTCGGATGCCAGAAAACTGAAGGCCAGGCTCCAGGGTAAACAAGACGGAAACCAAGGGACAAGAGGATATCTTCGCAGCGCTTCTCCCACAGACCCCCCGAATCCGGGTGGCCGTAAAGAGCAAGAATGAGTTGCACCACCGGATCGCTATACTTTGAGGCCCAACCTTTCGGCCAGCGATATTTTGGGAGGCGTACCCATGTTTTGATTCCCTTGTATAATGCTTGCGTATATGCCTGTCGCCCATCGGATTGTTGGGTGCAGTTGCCAGGCATAGCTCCATAAGCATCGATGGCTTTGGCAGCTTCCATGGTGGAAGGGGCCGATCCAAGTTCAGCGAATAAAGCTTGCTCAGCATTTTCGTCTTTTACGTTGTTCCCCTGAAAAACAGTCCTTCCCTTAAACTTGCGAAGAGGGTTTCCCTTTTGAAGTTCACTCCCTTTCTCAACACAGATTTCAAACATTTTGCCAACATGGACCTTTTCACTTCTCCCCTTGGCTTCTTTGACCACCTGCGACCACTCACGCACAGTGTCGTAATCCCATGCGCCCTTGCTTTCAAGGCTGTGCCACTCCACATCAATAGACTTTTGGGCATCAGCATTGCTTTCAATCTCCTTCCGCCCCACCGGTCTAGCAACCATAGCATGAATAACGGGGTGCAGGTGAGCTTGAAGAACTTTGCAACGATGTTGTCCAATTTCGGGATTTGCAGAAAGTGCAGGCAAAACCACAACATCCAGCGCGTCCTCAACAGTCTTCTCTTTAGAGTGGTTCCCAACGCAAGGTGTAACAGGCATAAGAGGAATGCTTGAAAACTCATCCTCCAATCCATTGTTAACTGCAGTGGTCGCCGGCCTAGCCTTGGAGGAAGAAGCTTCCGGGTCCTCGGAGACGGGCTCATCGAGGAAAGCCTTGCGAGTCTTCTCTCGTTCTTCTTTGATGATAGCGAGTCTCCTTTGCTTTGTTGACATTGTTTTCCAAAGAAAAGGTGGAATACTGTCGGGTTTGCTTGATCCCGAATTCCGAGCTTTCACACCCCCCGCATCGTAATGAGCACCTCCATCTTTGGGGACAAAGGTGTCCTTGCTGGTCTTCAAGTCGATGACTTTGATCATTTCTTCCGATGCGGGTCCCTTTTCGGGGGAAACTTTGATCAGCTTTCCGAGGTTTTCAGCGAGTTCCTGATCGTCAATGTCATCCTGGCCTGGCATCTCTGCCGGCAAATCCTCTTCCAAGAGCGGCGCATCTAATGCAGCTGGATCAGGCGTTTCAGGAGCGTATTCAAGCCCTGGCATTACGCCATTCATGTGCAATAAGTGCCGTTCGACCATTGGAAAAGAGAATTCACCATCCGGACATTTGATCTGATTCACTCTCAGCGGAGCAATAGGTTGATCATAGTCCTTCTCCATCAAATCTCGCAAAGGAATAACAAGAAATTCGTGACGCCAAAGAAAGTCAGGATGGATGGGATACCCCAGAAATATTCCAGCCCTGGAAGTAGGTTCAAACTTCAAAGGCTTGTTGGGTCGATTCCTCGGGCCAGTCCAAAAGTTGACTTGACAACCAAAAGGCAGGTCCGGGAAAATCTTCTCCAAAACGCACCTTCCATGGTGAATGATAATCTGGGTGATCCGTGATGTTATGCGCCATGCAATAGTGTTTGGCCGCATGTGGCCAATACAAATGATGCAAACCAGCTTGCTCCAGGTTGGTCCTCGTGCCCTCGATAATTGCCCTGACGTTCCTCTCAGCAATGGCATTCGTTTTGGAAATGTAGTTTGTACTTTGAACATGCTTCCATTCCAATTGATCCGCAGCTTTCACAAGTTCAGGAGCCCGATCACTGTAAAATATGTTCACGGTTTCCCCGGTGCGGACAAAGTGCTTGAAAGCCATCACACACTGGTGAGAGGTTTTCCGTGCTGCTGGGTAAACATAACGGAAATCAGTGGCAACATTTCGAACCACAAGTGCAACTCTAGATTGATCAATGCCGATTTCACGATCATCTGAGGTAATGAGATGGTCCGCCGTAAGGTGATCACCAAACTTCTTAGCCTCGACTTGAGTGGAACCTCCCTTTTGTCTTGATGGATATTTGTACATCTTCGCCCTGTTGCAAGTCTCGCAAAAGGGGCTCTTGGGAGTGTGACAGATCAAGTGCTGGAGTGAGGTCGCCTCATCACGCAAAGCTGCTTCACTGCGTTCGCGAGGAGCATCCTTCAAAATGGGCTTAGACACAAACTCGGAAGCGATGACCTTAGGCGCATCTTCAGAGGGAATGTCATGGCACTTTTCGATGACCTCACCTTCCGGTTGGCTTACAGTGTCTTCAAGCAAGAAATCATCGTTCCCCAATTCGTCCCCATCATCCTCGTTGGTCACAAGCACCTCTTCCACAGCTTCTGGTTCTTCGTCAACGACTAGAACTTCGTCCTCAATTTCAATGGGAGCTGATGGCAAAGTTGTAACCTTTGGAATGCTTTGCGACAAAGCTGGAACAGCATTTTGAGTCTCTGAAGGAATGAATGGTACATTGTCTTTGACCTCGAGCTTGATGCGTGAACCATCCGGAAGTCGGAAATAAGGTCTGCTGTGTGCTCTCCAAACGAAATCATATCCGTCTTTGAGGCATCTCATGCCCACGGACAACACGGATGGAGTCTTGTCAAGAACATACGGCCGAACAACACTATCGGTCTGTTTGATCTTGACATTGGCCTGCTCAGTACCGAAAATATTCCCATTGGCTGTGGAAAACTTCAGAGGTTGAGACGATTCGTAAATACTCCCCATCTCCGCATCCGTTCTCGACAGCAAATCCTGAGCAGCTCCTGTGTCCGCGATCCACGGAATGTGAGAAGAATCCATTGGTATATATGAGCAACAGCAGCGTTCCCCTTTTTGGGGGAAGTCTCAGGCTTCTCTGGCTCGGCCGTTAGGCCTGCGGGGATGCAGGAATCACAGCCGAAATCAGAGTCGCATTGAAACTTGCAAGAAGTCTTCGTACTCGAACTCACCCAAGCGAAGCGGCCTCCCCATCGCAGCACCGCCCTTTCTTCCGGCAGCGCCCATGGCTGGGCGAGTCATCCTCAAGGTAGGCCCGAGGGGCCTGTACAGAAAAGTGTTCTTGGGCCTGCAGGCTCCGGGGAAATACCGCTAAACTCAGGTTGTCTGCTGGCAGCTTTGATGTTCCCGGCCTGCTTGATGTTCTCCTGGTGCGTCTTGAACGCGTGCTCAATCTTCCAGATCCCCTCCTCGGCTGCAGTCCTCAGAGCGGCTCTGTCAATCGAGCCCTTGTTCAACGCGTCCGCCAGCATGTCTCTAGTGTCGATCCACATCAGGCTTTTGACTTGGCCTGTCTTCAACCACTCCTTGAACTTCAAGGCGTGGATCAACATGATGGCGTCCGTGGGCGTCTTCACTTCTTTGCCTGCCAAAGCCCGGAAGACGGCATCTGCATCGATGGCCACATCTAGGCCGTCTGTGATCTTGCCGCACTCGAGCTTGTCTGCCATGTGTGCTGCTGACTGCACACCATTGGTGATCTCATTCACCATCAGGCATATGTTCAAGCCCAAGTCACCATGTCCAGCGCGCTGGGAGCTCCGCCGTAAACGTACTCCGGCACACGCGGGATTGCTTCTTGGAGATGTACTCCAAGATCTGTATCGGATTGTTCCCGACAACCGGGCCCTTTGCGCTAATCAGCACAATCAGCCCGCTCCTCACTGCCAAGTGGTCCTGGTCCTCACCGCGGTAGGCCGACTCGGTGATGGCCATAAGCTTCAGGGGACCAGTGATCTTGTGGTAGACCAGCTTCAGGGGGTTCTGCTTGATGTAGCGAACCAGCCTGTTCAACTTCAAGAGGTCCTCCACCACCGGAGATTGCAGCTTCCGCTGCAGGGCGCTCACGTAGACGATGATGTCCATCCTGGTTTGCGTGGTCCAGGCAACACCGCCCAGAAGCGACATGTAGTACTTGTGGTAGTCCGGTCCCACCAACTGTTCTTTTGGTTGCAACTTCAACTCCTCCTCCGGGATCAGCCTCAACTCGCGGATGTAGTGCTCCTGGCTGATCGTCACCATGCCATCCGCGCTCGTCTCGTGCTTGAGTCCGAGGTGGGTGAAGTTGCCCTTCTCGACCTTCATGCTTTCGAAGCGATCTTCCAGCTTCGCGATCACGATCTTAACGATCTTGTCCTCTCCGCAAAGCTTCAAGTCGTCGACGTGAACCGTCAGAACGAGCACCAAACATCCCCGCTCATGCCGCACGAAGGGCTGCGGGTCGATCGTGGTCGGCGTGACCCCAATTTCAGCGAGGGCACGCCTCAAAGCCAACAACCACAATCTCGGTGCGTCCTTGAGTCCAAACCCAGGTCTGAGCAGCCTCAGGACCTCGACCTCGGGGTTGAAGTCCTCATAGCCCGGCTAGCAATGTCTCGCCGCCTGGAGGCAGCTCCAAAGCAACTTCTCTGCGGTCTTCACCAGCTTCGGCCAGCTCCTCAAACGTCAGCCCTCTCAGGAATGCTTCACTGACATCCGCACTGTGAAGAGTCCAGCCTCTGTTGACCGCCACCGTGATCAAGATCCGCTGTGACCACTTCGTGGAAGTTCCAGCGTAGTTGCTTGTGAGCTGGGTGTCCAAGAAGCCTTGTGCCACCAACCTGGCCTTGATCTTCTTGTCGGCGTTCTCCACAGCCTTCCACTTCAAAACCCACTTGCTGCGCAGGATGTTCTTCTGACCATGTTTGGCCGTTCTGCACCATGACTTGTGCTTGATCCAGCGCTGCAGTTCCTGCACCATGGACTCGCGGCACTTCTCAGCGTTGACCAGTGCTTCTTCACGTGTCAGTACATTGTGCTCGCGCTCGATGGCTGCAAAGGGCTTGTCGTTGGACATCAAAACCAGGGCTGTGTCCTGCCTGCGCATCTGACTCATGAGCTTCCGGATGCTGCCGGTGGTGTAGACCAGAACTCCATATATTAGCTCCAGCTCTGCGGGTTCTTGAAGTTCACCACCATTCGTCACCTCCGGCATTTCCATGAAATCTGCCACCGCCGGGACTGCCGAGACAAAGCCTGTTCCTCGTTCTGGCTCACTGCCCGGCTCATCAGGCTCTTCGGCTTCTGCAGCGTTTTGACTCGCTGCTTGCTCTTCCTCTCCAGGCTCATCAGGTGCTGGTTGGGCATCAACGATTGCCCTCACCTTCCTTTTTCGCACGAGGTCTTTGTCTTTGACCTCAACCAGCTCGGGGGCCTGCGGTTCGTGTGGGCCACCGATGTGTGGAGTGTCATCCACCTGAGTCCGTAGTTGCCGTACTTCTTCATCATCAACCATGAAATACTGCACGAAAGCCACCTGCTTCTGCTCGGTCAGCCTCTCCAAGCTGATGTACTTGGTTCCGGTGATGAAACAGTGATTCCACCTCCGCAGATCACCGCGCTGCCACCACACGATCAGCGTGTCGTCATAGATCGTCGCTGGGAGGCCATTGACTCCATGTCCGAACCTGAAACCAACGGTGCCCTGAAGATGTAGGCACACTCCGGCAACATAGAGTCCGGCATTGAGCACCTCCGCATAGTACCGGTTTCCTTCACACGAAACCCAGCATGCTCCCTGCTTGAACCAGCCCAGCCGTAGAGCTTCTCCTCGTTGAGCTTCCACAGCATCACGTAGAAGCCGCACGGGGTTCGACGGCTGTATGAGGAAAACCGCGAACACAAGAAGCTGGTCAAGCCCGGTGGTGGATCCCCTGCACCGGACGATGGTGGAGATGGAGATGACGGAGGTTCAGATCCTGAAGAACCTCGAGGACCAGAATGGTCGCGCTTTGTCCTCGGAGCGGCTTTGCAAGCACTACGGAGCGTGCGAGAAGGAGTGGTACGTCGTGCACTTCGGCGACTGCACCTCCGGTGGTACCACTGCTCAGCGGCCAAGATGCGAGCTCTTCTCTCTGCAGCAGGAACCTTACGTGAGGTTTTGGCCCTGGTGTCGGAGGTGGTTGACACATGCGCAGTTTGCAGGGCATGGCAACGGCCGGGCATCAAGGCGGCCACATCATCAAAGTTGCCAGAGGCCATGAACATGATTGCGCAGTGCGACCTGCTGTTCTACAAGGACTACGTGCTGTTCCACATGGTCGACATGACGACTCGGTGGACAGCAGCGGAGGTCATCCCCCAACAGGACGGCCGACTCGATCCTGGCGGCCATGGACAACTGCTGGATTCGCTTCTTTGGACCGCCGCAAACGTTGATGTCCGACCAGGAAGGCGCTTTGGCAACGGACCATGCGGCGGAGCAGATGAGTCGCCGTGGCATTAACCTGCAGCTGGTGGCAAAGGAGCAGCATTGTGGAGTGGTGGAACGACACAATGAACTGCTGCGACGTCAACTTCATTTGATTGACACGCAGGCTCAGAACGAAGGCCTCCTGATCGGCATCAACACACTGATCGGCGAGGCGATCTATGCCAAGAACATTTTGTTCACTGTTGGCAACACCACACCCCACGAGGCTGTCTTCGGGAGAACTCCACCATTGTTGCAGGTCATGGCGCACGACGCGGCAGCACCTCTAGCAGAACGAGACGCAGCTCGGATCCGGCAGATAGCAGTGAGCTCAATGATTCAAGCCACAGCTCAGCAGAAGCTGCTCATTGCGAACCGCGCCAAGGTGAGACGGTCAGCGGAACTTTTGGAACTCGAGATTGGCGACCTGGTTGAGATCTTCAGGCGGCCAACTACGAAGGACGCCAGCGGCTGGGTTGGCCCTGCCACGGTCTCTGATCTATCAAGCCTCAGGGAAGGGATCGTGTATGTGCGCTGGCAGGGCAGGCGGTTGTTGGTGCGGACTCAAGATGTGCGGAGAGCCCTTCTCGGAGCGTTCCTCAGCTTGTGTACCAGCGTCTGCTTTGCGTGTTCTGGGTCCACTATCTGCGGCCTTCAGCGCTCGCCTTGCTTCAGGATCTGCGGGATAATCCGCAACTTCACCAGCTGGCTCACGCCGGATTGTCAAGGGTTTCGGCTTTGCTGCGGGATCGCCAGGAACTCCACTCTCTCGCCTGGGATCGTCGCTCAAAGTGCTGGTCGGATCTCTGCAAGCCGGCACTCGTCCATCTCTAGGATGAGACCCTCTTCGTTCTCTCGTGCCTCCAGCTGGCATTTCACGTGCCACTGCCCATTGGCAATCTGGCCCAAGGGTGTGTGTGCGGTGCGCCCGATGTCGGTTTGCCCTGCATGCTGGACACCTCCAATCACTTGGCTCGACATGTTTGAACCGGCAGTCGCCACTGCGTGAGTGTCTCTTGTTGTCTTGACGAAGATGTCCACGACAGCCGGGACACTCATATCGGTGCGTGCCAGCAGCAAAAGCCTTGGTGTGATTGGGTCGGCTGAGGAGATACTCGTGAATGCCGGCTGCAATTCTCTCACTAGTTCCAGGGGCCAAACTTGCATGTCGGCACTCTTCACCACATGAGCTGCATGTCCCTTCCACTGCCCGATCACCGCGTGCTCGTGCTTGCCATCGCATCTTAGGTTTTGCAGGTGGAATAGGAGCTGCTCGTGTGAAGCCCGGATTTCCGTGCTTTTGCGCACCGGCAGGAAGGGTTCCTTTGCCATCCTCAGTCCAGTCATGCATTGCTCGAAAACCACCTTGAACACGTAATCCTCGAGCTGTTTCCACTCCGGCTCATCGTAGAGCCCACTGCCAGCTGGTTGCTCGACCATAAACGCTTTGCCTCGTCTCAGCTGCGAAATTGCGACTCGTCCGCTAAGGCGTCCCAAGGATCTGCTCCGCATCTGAGACTTCTTCCAGGCTTCGGGATTGATCTGTCGGTTGCTTGCCGCGACATGATGAGGCCTCACCGAATTGGGAATGTGACGAAGGTCAGGGACGTCTACGACGAGAACCTCCCCAAAGAGGAACAGGTCGCCCTTGAGTTTGCTGCTCGGTATGGTCTTTACAGGAACTGGGCTCGTGCTGTGAAGCAGCAGCCCGGGGAGACCCGTGGCCGGAGCGGATTGTGGCAAGACCTGGACCCCAACAAGCAGAAGTCGACCAATTGGCGCTTCGCGGAGGTCATGCACATCCCCGACGTCGAATGCCCGCGCTGCAAGATCGTCATCCCGGTGGGTACAATCAACTGCTATCAGTGTGACAACCTCATGGAGCGCATGCCCGATATCAAAAAGATTGCAAGAGTTGTCCGATTGCAAGAGATGGCCAACAGCTTGGGCGTGCCACTCTCCATGGACCAGGTTGAGACCCAGATCTTGACGCAAAGGAAGGATGCGCGAGGGGATCGAAGGGCAAGAGGGGGGCTCGGGATCATGAAGGACATTGCCAAGAAAGCCGTCCTTCGCAACAAGGAGTACAACACTTTGTACGAGAGGCTGATCAACGACCCCTTCTACGCCTACACTGCCGCGCGGGGAGACCTGACGCCCTCCGCCCTCGAGTTTATCGAGAAAGTGGTACGATGCATTATTCCGAGTTTCGAAAGAACCAAGGAAATGATCCAAGGAAGCGTTGCTGTGCCAAAATATCACGCACGGCTAACGCTGGTGCCGCCTAGCGAGGACGTGCAGGAGGTTGATCCCAAAGACTTGTATGTGGTGCATGGTGGCAGATTTTTGGAAACCGAACAATTTGCCGCGTTGTATGGAAGCCTTGACAAGACCAACCGCTATCCCGTGATGGGCTGGAGTCGGGATTTCTCATCGGTGGGAGACCCCGAAACTGTATTGGTTGAGTTGCTTTGCTTCGTCGAAGAGGAGATCCCCGGCATCCAAATCCCTGGACGAGCCACCCCGCTCCCTGCAGTTGTCGGTGTGACGCGCAAGCCCATTCCGCAGCTCCGGGAGACCGGTGGCCAATGGCAAGATCGTCAATGGAGCCAGTGGTAATGGGGAAGATGGGGCCAATCCTGGGACTCGTGGTGGTCTGATGATCAGCGCCCGTGGAAGAGCTCCCGCAATTGGGATTGGCGATGAATGAGCGGTCTCTTCAACAATCTTTTCAATCTTCGGCTGACATCCAATTACACTTCAAATTCAATATTCATTATACTTGTCAATCTATGTTGGCCGAGGATCAATGTACAGGCATGAGCACGCCTCGCGAGAGCGACGGTCAGTGGAGGCGGAAGACCTTAACGGCCGGTTGCTCGTATCCAAGTGCTTGTGTGCAGCAAAAGACTTCATGCCGATCGGGTTTCTTTGGTTGTTTCATCCCTTTCATTTGTCCTCCTGTTTCACATTCGGGCACGGGGGGTGTAGTTTGCAACGTGATGTATTTATCAACCATGTAAAACCCCAATGCATGAACGTCTCACTTGCGCAGTCTCATCATTACGACTGCGCGTGGCTCAAGGAAAAAGCACGCTGTAGGCAGGGTTCATTGTTGACCCTTCCCGGTTGTTTAACCTGTTCTATAGTTTCTAGGTTAGGAACTTTCAGCGGTGTATTTATAATTTGTGTTCCGTCCCGAGTTTGCGGGCGATGCTAGCAGGACAAGCGCTGGCTCCTGCCTGGTTAGTAGGATTAGGACGTGAGACACTTTCGTCGCCGGACAGGCACAGATACCCGTGACGCAGTGCTGAGGCCAGACCATACCTGGCTGCCTCCTCGCTGTGCGAGACTGAGCCGGAACATGTTTTTGTTGTGTCGGTGCCTGTGTCTCTGTTGTGTGTGCCTGTGTCTTTGTTGTGTGTCTCTGTGTCTCTGTGTCTCTGTGTCTCTGTGTCTCTGTGTCTCTGTGTCTCTGTGTCTCTGTGTCTCTGTGTCTCTGTGTCTCTGTGTCTCTGTGTCTCTGTGTCTCTGTGTCTCTGTGTCTCTGTGTCTCTGTGTCTCGGTGTCTCTGTGTCTGTTGTGTCTCTGTGTCTCTGTGTCTCTGTGTCTCTGTGTCTCTGTGTCTCTGTGTCTCTGTGTCTCTGTGTCTCTGTGTCTCTGTGTCTCTGTGTCTCTGTGTGTCTGTGTGTCTGTGTGTCTGTGTGTCTGTGTGTCTGTGTGTCTGTGTGTCTGTGTGTCTGTGTGTCTGTGTGTCTGTGTCTCTGTGTCTCTGTGTCTCTGTGTCTCTGTGTCACTGTGTCTCTGTGTCTCTGTGTCTCTGTGTCTCTGTGTCTCTGTGTCTCTGTGTCTCTGTGTCTCTGTGTCTCTGTGTCTCTGTGTCTCTGTGTCTCTGTGTCTCTGTGTCTCTGTGTCTCTGTGTCTCTGTGTCTCTGTGTCTCTGTGTCCGTGTGTCTCTGTTTCTCTGTGTCCGTGTGTCTCTGTGTCTCTGTGTCTCTGTGTCTCTGTGTCTCTGTGTCTCTGTGTCTCTGTGTCTCTGTGTCTCTGTGTCTCTGTGTCTCTGTGTCTCTGTGTCTCTGTGTCTCTGTGTCTCTGTGTCTCTGTGTCTCTGTGTCTCTGTGTCTGGGTGTCTGGGTGTCTCTGTGTCTCTGTGTCTCTGTGTCTGGGTGTCTGGGTGTCTCTGTGTCTCTGTGTCTCTGTGTCTCTGTGTCTCTGTGT